GTTACTGTACTACCTGTAGTTAAGGGACTTATAACCTAATTTCGGATCCTTATAACCCAATTTAGGGCTCTTATAACTCTACTTCTCACTAGGGGGCCCCTCCTTGTAGACTAAGTCTTACTTGGAGAGTCGGGGCACTTAGTAAGTGGTTTTAAGTACCTTTCTTGGGCTTATAAGTAAGTATAAGTACACTTACCTCACTTACCAAGTCCCCTGATCCGTAAAGTAGGGTAGTGCAGGGTACGCAGTTACATTGACATGGTCCCTTCATCTGGGCCCTTAAATGGGGGAGCCCTTATAGACCCCCATTATACCCTACAAAACCCAAGGGCCCATACTCCGGAACCCCTTAAAGAAGGTAAGGGACCATATCAAGGAAACTGCTTCTAAAGCGTTGTTGTTAGGTTAAAGGAAAGTTTAAAAGGAGTGAACCAGTAAGCCCTTACTGAACCTAGGGGACCAAATGAACCCTAAAATTAGGGTCATATACGCTAGATTACTATAACAGTGAAGGACCCTAAACCCTAAACCCTAAACCCCAAACCCTAAACCCTAAACCCTAAACCCTAAACCCGAAGCCCTAAACCCTAAACCCTAAACCCTAAACCCTAAACCCTAAACCCTAAACCGGCACCTTCAGGCCCTCGATGACAACGTGGTCGCCACGGGCAAGTTCCTGAGCAAGCGCGAGCGCGTTTGGGTGTGTTGGGTTTAGGGTTCAGAGTTCAGGGTTCAGGGTTTAGGGTTTAGCGTTTAGGGTTTAGGGCTTGGGGGGCCAGGATTTAGGTTTTAGTACCCTAAATCCTTACGTCTAGACGAGGGTCTAGGAAGGTGTCGGAGTTCGGTGCTTTCGGCCACAGAAAAACCACTTCTTATGCGGAAACAATTAATTCGGGGCAGAATTTCAAACCTTCACCCAAAACCACCAGGTTCAGGGTACTTAATAACCCCATTATATAGGGTTTCAGGTTTAGGATTAGGGAGAACTGCAGGATAAACATAAATTGTATGTGGTGTCATTCTGAATTTACAATGTCGCTTGTGCAAACAGCTGACAAGCCGAATTTAAGTATGGCTCTTAAGCAGGACACAAAGTTCCCGGGAAGCTCCCCCAAAAAGCCCCAAAAGGGCCCCAAACCCAGAAAAAGCACCAGGAGCCGCCCCCCCCTCCCAGGCCCCCCGTCCCAAAAGAGTCCCAAAAGAGAGCACAACAGAAAACTCGCTCAAAACGACAAAGCCCGCCCGAAACTCCGGACGCGAACCTTGAAAAGGCAAAAAACAAAACTCGCCCAAAACTTTCTTTCCCCCAAAACGGCCCAAAACCCTCCCGACGCTTTCGCCCAAAACTTTCGCGCAAAACCCCGCGCACAAACCCTATCGAATTTCTATAAACCGTAAACCCTGTATAAGCGATCCCACCCCACACCTAGGGTGTGTCTGGAGGGGGAGGGGGAGGGGCTTTGACCTTGAAGCCTCAACCCTCAGAACCGCACAAACCCGAAGACCTCACTCGGGGCCTAAACCCTAGCCGTGAACCCAAAACCCCAAAAACCCTTAAACCCTGACTTTAAACCCTAAACCCTAAACCCTAAACCCTAAACCCTACGGGGAGGAACGAGTTGGGAAACCCGAGCCCTTGCAGGGACTGAGCCCATGGCGACCTGCGGGTCGGGTAACGTATCCGGCGCCGGAGTCTGGGGATGGCATTGGGGGGGTGGAAGGTTTGGGGTTTAGGGTTAGGGTTTAGGGTTTAGGGTTTAGGGTTTAGGGTTTAGGGTTTGGGGTTTGGGGTTTGGGGTTTAGGGTTTAGGGTTTAGGGTTTAGGGTTTAGGGTGTTAAACTGTCTTGTATGCATGGTTGACAGTCTTGCGGCAGCGGTGACTGAAGTGCTGGTCGCTGTCAGAGTGTGCTGGTATCGTCTTTGAAGTTCCCGCCCGCGCGCCCAGAGGAATAGGAGACACGACCCGGGTTTAGGGTTTAGGGTTTAGGGTTTAGGGTTTAGGGTTTAGGGTTTAGGGTTTAGGGTTTAGGGTTTAGGGAAGACTTCAGAAACTGGCCCTGCACATCTGAGTAGGATTATGCTTGTGGCGTCTTGCGGGCATCCGATTAAAAATGCTTGTGCCCACGTCGTTTACTTTACGGTTTAGGGTTTACGGTTTAGGGTGTAAGGTTTAGGGTGTATACGACTTCGGAGGTTAGGGTTTAGGGCGTATAAGGTTTAGGAGTTGGGACGGAGTCTAGGGACGGTTTAGAGTGTAAGGTTTAGGAGTTGATGGTTTAGGGTTTTTGGGGCTTCTTCTGGTGCAAGGTTTAGGACTTTAGGATTTAGGGTTCAGGGTGTAAGCTTCAGGAGTTTAGGGTTTAGAGGTTCAGGGGTTTATGGTTTAGGGTTTCAGGGCTTTTGGGTTTCAGGTTACTCGGGGTTGAGGAGTTTATGGTTTAGGGCTTTAGGGGTTCGGGTTTCAGGGTTTGTGGTTTTAGGGTATTAGGGGGCTTCGGGTGCGTTGAAGTCACTTGCTTAGGGTTCATGGGCTTGTGAGGCTTATGGGGTCCAATATTTTTGTGGTAGGGTTTGTAAGGGCTTGAATAATGAGAGTTTTTTCTAGAGGGCTCGGGCTGGGGTTAAAGATTTACCAAAAATCTCATGGGCTAGGTCCTGTTCGGAGTCCAGCCAAAGCCCTTTCTAGGCATCTGGCATGAGGGGCGGGGGGGTGGCGGAAGAGCTTTCGCCTGTTTAGGGTTTAGGGCTTAGGGCTTGGGGAGTTTGGGGTTTAGGGTTTAGGGTTTAATCCTCCATCTTGCAGAACCATGTTCCATCCTCAGAAGCCTTGTATGACGAGATCTTAGGACATCTCTGTTTCACAGGTGCGCACTTCGGACGACATAGGAAGCCCTGAAGGTCCCAAGGGTTTAGGGTTTAGGGTTTGGGGTTTGGGGTTTGGGGTTTGGGGTTTGGGGTTTAGGGTTTAGGGTTCAGAGTGTAGGGTTTAGGATTTAGGGTTTAGGGCGAAAGCCCTCTGCCAAACCCGAAACCCGAAATCCTAAGCCGAAAGCCTTAGACGCTGAAAGTTCAACCCCCTGAACCCCCAAAATCCTGCTCAAGCATGAACCCTACAGTCTACACCCTGAACCCTCGAAACCCTAAACCCTGTAGGCCCTAAACCCTAAACCCTAAACCCTAAACCCTAAACCCTAAACCCTAAACGCTTATCCTCCTTGAGGAGCACGCGTCTGAGGCAGTCTTGGACTCGCCATCCTCCACTTGATGGTGTTCACTCACAGCTTGGGAGAGTATATACTGATTGAGGGGTTTGGGGTTTGGGGTTTAGGGTTTAAAGGGATTAGGGTTTATGTAGGGTTTAGGGCTTCGGGGTCGCAATCATGTAGCCATGATGCGAAACAAATCCAGCCTCAGGACCATCAACTTGGTTAGGGTTCATAGAATCCTCCAGGGGCTTTCACGTTTGGTGTTCGGGGTTTGGAGGGCACAGGATTAAAGTCATAGGAATTCATAGGACCTAGGAGCCTTTCATCGCTCCAATCGCCTCTGGCATGCAATGTCTCGAAGCTCTCGCAAGTCAAGAAGAACCAGGCCCTCACAGAGGCCGGGTTGCCGCCGGTGTACTGCCACCGAGGATATTTCCTCGTCACCAGGTGACGACGCTTTCCTGACCGCCACGAAGAACTCCAGGACAGTTTGCGAAGCTGACATCTCAGATCAAAGCAGAGAGAGGTCGAGTGAGGGTGAGCACAGATACAAGACAAAATCTGATGAAAGGCGCTCGCCTCCCCTCTTTACTATCCCCCCAAGGTTTCCCCCCCATAATGAAGGCCATCTAAGCCTAACTAAGGTTATTGAAGGGGGGAAACCTAGGGGGGAGTATTGAGGGAGGTAGTAGCCCTAAACCCTAAACCCTAAACCCTAAACCCTAAATCCGAAAATGCAAGGGTAGTAGGGGAAGCCCATGGCTGATGGCCGGCTTCTGCTCCAAGTTCCATCCAAGGCCACTTCCATCGCAGCAGTCACGCCAGCGTCGTGTGATTTAGGGTTTAGGGTTTAGGGTTTAGGGTTTAGGGTTTAGGGCTTATGGTTTAGGGTTTAGGGATTTCCAGTAAACCCTGACAAAGCACTTTTGGGGTTTAATTTCGGTTTGGGGACACCACCCGAACACCCAAACTAGACAAAGTCATGAAGATACTTTGGGATGCTCCCCCTTATACAAACAGTCCTTGGTAGGGATTATAGTACCCCCCATCAGAATTCCTTGTTAAGGACTGTTAGTATAAGGGGAACGTCCAAGAAAAATTCGAGAAAGGCCATCAGCATGGATTCTAGAGGTCTAGGAAAGCCAAAAACCCCCTATTGTAGCCTACAGAAGAGGGAGGTGTACATGCCCAGATAGGTGCTGAGAGTTTAGGGTTTGGGGGCTGATCTCGCCTCGAATACCCTCAAGCCAAAACACAACCCGCCTTCGCAGGTTCTGCGGGCGTTGTGGTCGCCGTAGGCTCCTTCTCAACACAACTGAGAGAGGACTGAAGAGTGTAGAGTGTGGTGTTAGGGCAGGCTTGAGTAGGGTTTAGGAAGGCTCACCCCCCGCCCCACCCCTCACCTCCCCATCCCGCCCCCAGCCTACGAGTAATTGTCCTCCATTCAAGCCTCATATGGCCCTAGGAGCAGGAGTGCTTGACATCAAAAGAACAGTTGAAGGCTCAAGGGCTTCTTGCTGTGGGCATGGAGCTGACATGATCAGCAAGAGTTCGAATTAGAGCCTTTCTTGGCAGTCGATTTTGTCCTGCTTTCTGGAGCACGGGTCGTTCTTGACATCTTCACGTCATAAAGGCGTAGGAACCTCCATGTTGACCACAGGCTCCGCTTAGCGTCCCAATTGCGCAGGCACCGAAGCACGCTTGAGCGAAGTCTTCTCCGAGCTAAAGTGGTGAGAAAAGGAATCGGCAAAACGGGACCGCCATTTCTTGGGCGCATGATTTTTTGCAAGAAATTATTGGGAGTCTCTTTGCAGGCCATCTAACCAAGACATGTCCAGATCTGGCAGAAAGGATTCGAGCTGACTCAAGTCGTCTCCCGACTGCCATGGCATGTCTGACATGTCGCCGGACATGTCGGACATCTCACGAGTCCAATGCGAAATCACGGGCATCTGTGGGTGGCGTCGGAAGCGAGCAATGCCGCGTTCTTGGAATGGCAAAGTGGGCAACAAGTCGTGTGGAATGATGAGTTCCCATTCCGATTCAGTTTCCCGCACCAACGCCACTTGTCTGCGCTTTCCCAATGCTTCCAAAAGTGGCTCTTCTTCAAGTATTCCGAGCTTCTTCTTGACCATTGCTGCCTTTTGTTCACCACTCATACCTGCGTCATGCAATCGCTCATCCTCCAACACCACAATCTCAAGTTCCTCAAATGTGACAGCGACAAGTCTAGCCTCAGAGTGACCCTTCTCCCATCGATAGGGCACGGTGCCGAGCACGTGATCCCTCTGAAACTGAGTGTACAAACCTCTCCAGTCTTTGAGCTGCAGTGAGCCATCGCCATCAAGGTCGTCGTGAGCACTTGGAGGACTCCCTTCCTAGACCCGGGAGTAACCTAGGAACGAAAAGGACACCCTTTTTGGTCTTAAGGGGCTTATAAGGGAAACCCCAACCCTAAAGAAGGAAAAAAAGGCCTACTCCTGGTCTTAGCTTCATTGTAGGAAGCCAGGGTCGTATCACCTGCCAACACCTTGTAGACTGCCACCCCCTTCACCACCATTGGCTTGGCAAGCGCAAGCTCGGCGCCAGCAAGCCCTTCGGCACTCATGTGGGGGTCTACGAACATAGCGTGTGCCTTTTTTGGGTCCTCATGAGATGGGAACCCTATTATTTGGGGGGTCTAGTTTAGGGTACCCCTATGTTCGTAAACCCCCATGTCCAAGCCGTGGAATGTCTACAGAAACTGCTCTTGAACACAAACATTCGTTGGGGACCACATGAACCCAAGAAGGGATTATGCTTCATATACCTCAAGAGGCATAAGATGAATAGTTGTATCGTGTAAATACTAGGCTGCCCAGTAACCTAGGCGTAAAAAGGGTGCCCTTTTTTTGCTTAAAGGGGTTTATAAGGGAACCTAAACCCCCCCCCCAAAAAGGAATAAGGGTACTACTGGGCATCCTACAGGGTGGGGGCCCCTAGTTATAAGTAGAGTTATAAGGGCCCTAAATTGGGTTATAAGGACCCTAAGTTAGGTTATAAGCCCCTTAACTACAGTTAGTATAGTAAGGGGGCCCCACCCTGTAGAACAAAAGGCGAGGTACCTGGAAACACCTTCGAAGCGATTCAATGCTGTGTTTGGATCGTTTCCTTCGCTTGGTTCCCTATAAACCCTAGCCCTAAGCCCTAAGCCCTAAACCCTAAACCTTAAACCCTAAACCCTAAACCCTAGCCCTAAACCCTAAACCCTAAACCCCAAGCTCGATCTAATGAGCCCTATTCTTTTTTGGGCGGATCAATGTTGAAGCAGTCAGACTGTCAGGGCAAACAAGGTCAGCAACTAGACCCGGGAGTAACCTAGGAATAAAAAAGGGTTTAGGGTTTAGGGTTTAGGGTTTAGGGTTTAGGGTTGAGGGTTTAGGGTTTAGGGGATTATAGGGGAACCCAACCCCTACAAAAAGCAAATAAGGGCCTACTCCCCGTCCTAGGCAAAAAGGGAAGGGGAATGGACGAAATGAGCTAACTGCAGGGAAGAAATGCCGAAATCCTTCAAGAACTCCTCATGTTTAGGGTTTAGGGTTTAGGGTTTAGGGTTTAGGGTTTAGGGTTTAGGGTTTACGGTTTAGGGTTTGGGGTTTGGGGTTTAGGGTTTAGGGCTGCGGGATGCCGTTCCGGGAGCTATTAAAGGAGCATTTCCCCATAGGGTTTGAGGATGCTAAGACCAAAACCCTCAAAATCTAAGACCACCAAAAACCCTCAAACCGTAAGTCACCCTCAAACCCGAAGCCCTAAGCTCTGAACCCCTCGCACCCTCGAACCCTGTGCCCTAAACCCCAAGCCCGAGGATCCTCGGCCTTAAACCCAAGATCCCTATGACCCGAATACCCTAAGCCCTACACACTTAAGCCTGAGACCCTAACCCCTAAGACCCTAAGACCCCCAGGCCCTGAACCCGAAAACCCTAAGCCCTAAACCCGAAGAAGCCCAAGAGCTCAAGCCCTAAACCCTAAACCCTCCAAACCCTCAACTGATTAACCCCTACCCTGGGGACCAAATGAACGCTAAAGGGGTTTGTGGTTCGTATACCTCAATAGGGATTGTAGTAGTATAGGGTACGTGACCGGCTCGTTTGGTCCCCAAAGTACACCCTAAGAGCCTGAGCCCTCAACTCTTCACCCTTAACCCCTTAACCCCTAAACCCTAAACCTTAAACCCCTAAACCTTAAACCCCTAAACCCTAAACCCTAAACCCCTAAACCCTAAACCCTAAGCCCTAAACCCTAAACCCTCAACCCTAAACAACCCCCGCACTGCCTCCTTGGTTTCAGGTGCCTGAGGTGCCACCGGCTCCTCTCGTGAGAAGGGTTTAGGGTTTAGGGTTTAGGGTTTAGGGATTATTGGTTTAGGGTCTGAACTGTGCCACGTTCTGGTGCCATGGATTGTAGGGATTAGGGTTTGGGGTTTAGGGTTTGGGGTTTGGGGGTTAGGGTTTGGGGTTTAGGGTCTAGGGTTTACTGCCCAAGGTTGGAACATCGGGCTCTTAGTATGGCCCCTTGCTTCTAGGGATCCGAAGTAGAAGCGTACATAGGGATAACACCAGCCGGTTTTAGAGTTTAGGGTTTAGGGCTAGAACTAGCAGTAGCCTAGGAATAGAAAGGGTACCCTTGTTGGTTTTAAGGGGATTACAAGGGAACGTTACCCTAAAAAAGGAAAAAACATGCTTACTCCCGGTCCTAGATATAGTATATAGGGATAACATATAACACGGGACCCAAAGCAAGGGCCCGCACTTGGAACCTTTAAGCCATGGCCTGTTCGGGTTTAGGGTTTAGGGTTTCGGGTTTGGGCCTGGGGTTCAGGGTTTAAGGCCAAAGAGGTCTTCGCGTTTAGGGTTGAAGGGTTTGGGGGTGGGGGCAAGGGTTTCAAACCCTAAACCCTAAACCCTAAACCCTAAACCCTAAACCCTAAATCATCCAAAACCCAGCAGGACACGGCGAAGGGATCCCAGTAGAGGCTAGCTTGCACACACCTACTTAGAGATATAGAGACACCCAGACACCCTCGAACAAGGGTTTCGGGTTTAGGGTTTAGGGTTTAGGGCCAGAAACTTTAAACTAAAGGACGAAACAGAGAACTCCCCCGAAACCCCGGGCAATGCACACTCCCGTGGAGACTGAACCCTTGAAAGACCCTGAACCACTCTAGAATGCACGTGAACGCCGCGGCACCGCCGCGGAGGAGGCGTCGCTCTTCTCTGGGGCGGCCATGGCTAGGGAATGTCAAGGCTGAGTATATGGGAGCAATAGCGAGAGGACTTGCTAGGATGGGTGAGGGATCGCATGGGGCGCAAGCTGTGATGCTAAGCAGCTAGTCATATGGGGCCGGACTGGCTAAGGGATCGTTGCTGCTGGCAGGGCGTGTCAAGTGTGGCTCTTGTAAATCTTCCGCTGACGCCGGGCTCTACGTCCGAAACCCTTAAAATCACCCAAGACTGCTTGGGGTAGCTATAGCTGAGGGCTTGGGAAATCATCTTTGGGGGGGCGGAAAGGAGGAAGGCACCTTCCCTTGTGAAGCTTGAGCCATGTGGAGGCAGAAGGCGTAAGCTCGGCGCTTGGGCCGGGGTGGGGGCTGGAGGGTTTTCCCGCAACATGTCGGGTTTAGGGTTTAGGGTTTAGGGTTGAGGGTTTAGGGTTTAGGGTTTAGGGTTTAGGGTTTAGGGTTCAGGACTACAGACCCTCGAGGAAGATTCGCAAAAAGCGCTTCATCCTCCAAAAACTCTAGAGTCTCTCGAAGTGGCCACCAAGCCTTAAAGCACCTAAAACCCTAAACCCTACAGGGTGGGGCCCCCGAGTTATAAGTAGAGTTATAAGGGCCCTAGATTGGGTTATAAGGGCCCTAAGTTAGGTTATAAGTCCCTTAACTACAGTTAGTATACTAAGGGGGCCCCACCCTGTAAGGGTCCATGTACCTTACTATGTACTTGGGCCCCAAAGTCCCTATATAGGAGGTACTTAAAGGCCCAAGTATATCCTGTTTAGGTACATGGGTAAGCCTCTGAACCTAGCACCTCTGACCTTCATGTACTGCACATTGGAACTCTGGTGAAAATTCAGATGCCTGATGCTCCTGAGGAGAAGCCGAAACCCCAAGCCCCAAACCATAAACCCTCTAAACCCTAAACCCTAAACCCTAAACCCTAAACCCTAAACCCTAAACCCTAAACCCTAAACTCTGCCCAACCTCAACCCCTCCAACTGCGCACGTTTCTGGCCAAAGCCCCTCGGCTCCCTGGTCGCTCACTGCGTGTCGAGGCAGCTGCTGCCTCAGCTGGGTTTAGGGTTTAGGGTTTAGGGTTCAGGGTTCAGGGTTAGAGCTTTGGACTTCAAAAACCTCGCTTAGGGCTAAGGGTTTAGCAAAGGGTGTAGGGTGCAGGGTTTAGGCCAAAGCAGTCAAACATCTTGGCCACAAAGTCGCGACAGAGCAGCTCCTTTAAAGCCCAAACTCTAAACTCTAAACCCGAAACCCTAAACCCTAAACTCAAAGCAATGCCTAGCTGGGTATATGGGCCCATGAAGCCTACTCACGCTGTAGCCACTTGAGTCGCCCGCTCCACATGAAGTTCAAGGGAGTCATATCCGGACCTTAAGGACGTACTTTGGGATGTTTTCCCTTTTACTAGCAGTCCTTAGTAGGGATTATAGTAGGGGGTACTATCACCACTATTCAGGGCTGTTAGTCTCAGGGGGAACATTCCAAGATGCACCCCTGTGAAGTTCCCCTAATATACGCCGAATATGGCCCTTATATTTCCCTAAAGGATCTTTAAAGGTGTCCCCAAACTCAAGGGTACAACCTTAGGGGTCCAAGGTAGAATCACATGAACCCTGGGTTCAAAACCCAAGCCCTATACAACCCCCCAAAACTGAACTTCAAACCTCCCCAAAAAAACCTAAACCCCATGCAAACCTCATGCAAGCCCTAAACCCTAAACCCTAAACCCTAAACCCTAAACCCTGTGTAACCCTAAACCTTAAACCCTAAAACCTGTGTAACCCTAAACCCTGTGTAACCCTCAACTCTGTGTAACCCTATGTGACCCCAAGTTCTGAAGCCTCAAACCCAGGGTCGGGGGCAACATCAGTCATGAGATTCTACCTTGGACCCGTGAGGCTGTACACTTGGGTCTGGGGAGGCCCCTTTCAAAGAGCCTCTAAGGGAATTTATGGGCCATATTAGTACTTTTGAAGAGCCTCTAAGGGAATTTCTGGGCCATATTAGTTTTTAGGAATATATACTAGGGGGCCCCCCAGAAGCGTACATCCTCAAGGGTCCAAGCTGGACTCCCTTGAATCAGGGAGTCTCCACCCTAAACCCGAACCCCCACCCCACCCCTCTGCCAACCCTCCCGCCCTTAGGGTTTAGGGTTTAGGGTTCAGGGTCAGGGCTTGGAGCTCAGGGATTCGAATCTGGGATTTTGCTACTTCGGCCTTGGTGGTCCTAGGTCCTAGAATTCACAACAACCCTGAACCCCAAACCCTAAACTAACCACAAGGAGCCTCAGTTTTCTTGGCCCTGAACCCCAAGTTGTTGTTTGTTTTCTCTCTCTATCTCTATCTCTCTCCCTCTCTCTCTCTCTCTCTCTTATCTTTTTGTATTTTCTTGTTGCATCACTTCTTTCGAAATATTGTTCGTTTGCTTTTTTGCTGTGTGTGTGTGTGTGTGTTTTTTTTTTTTTTTGGGGGGGGGTAGGGTTGAGGGCTTATGGTTAGGGTTTAGGCCCTAACCCGATATCTTTCAGGCAAGAGGCAGCAGCAGCAGTAAGGCCCCCCGCTCGGCCTGGCTCTGGGGTTTAGGGTTTCGGGCTTAGGGCTTAAGGTTTAGGGTTTAGGGTTTAGGGTTTCGGGTTCAGGGTTTAGTTGTTTTTTCCCCGCTCTTTTTTTTTCTGGGCTGTGGTGGGTCAAGGTCTAGCAAGCTCACCTAGACCACCCCCGGCTATATAAACTATGTAAACAAAGAATCATATGTATGTGTATATACATATGTATATATATATATGTATATTATGAACAAAACACAAGCCGTAATGACGGCCTAAATTTGGGTGTCCCTATACTCCTCTAAGAGCGGCAGTGCGCGGGGCAGAACAAGTGCTTGCAGGGGTTCGGATGCACGGGCTCGCCGCCTGCGTGAAACGACGCAGGCGCTGGAAAAGTCGCCAGGCTCCAACTAGGATGACCCCTAAACCCTGAAAAAATATTCCTGAATGTGATTCGCTTAAACCCAATAAGCGAAAATACAAAATGTCCCAAGGGCCTAGCAAGCCAAAGAACTTCAAGCAACATGACCTTGAATGCAGATGTAGAGGATGCAGGATCTACCCCTAAACCCTAAACCTACCAAAACGAACAACAACAACTCGGAACTCTGAACCCTAAGCCCTGACTAGCCCTGAACACTAAACCCTAAACCCTAAAGCCTAAACCCTAAACCCTAAACCCTAAGCCCTAAACCCTAAACCCTAAATCCTAAACCCCAGTCAAAATCCCTTGGGATGACTCCCGGATTCGATTTTGCTGAGGGGAACACGGCTTCTACTAACAGGTTTAGGGTTTAGGGACAGGCCTTAATAGGGGTTAGAGTAGCCCCGACTCGGATCCCTATCAAGGACTGTTCGTGTAAGGAGGAACAAGCCAACCCCTACCCCAAAACAAGGCCAAAATTGAGGCTCCCTGGACCGGGTTGTAACCCTAAACCCTAAACCCTGAACCCTAAACCCTAAACCCTACCCCCTAAACACAAAAACCTGCCGGCCGAACATGCTGCGATCGATCGTGATCCACGAACACCTTCTGAAGAGCAGCGGCATTTTCACAATGTAGGGTTTAGGGTTTAGGGTTTAGGATTTAGGGTTTAGGGTTTAGGGTTTAGGGTTTAGGGTTTAGGTTTTAGGGACTTGGGGGCTGGATTTCGGCCCTAGAAGCCCCAAAGCTTAATTCACCAGAGCTCCTGTTGAGGGTTTCGGGTGTGGAGTTCGTGAGCTTCTGCAGGGGGCTTCGGCGTCTGGGAATCGTAGTGGGGCTCGGTTGTGCGTCATCTAGGCCCTCATCGACACCCTACCATGAAGGTCCATATGGGACTCATGGGACGAACTAACTTCCTATGACTGGGTTGCTGTCAAGATTATGACCCCCTTGGGGTACCCTAAATCTTAGGTGCCGTATTATCATAGGGATCCGAAAAGGGGAGCAAAATTTTGACAACCACCCAACCCTAAACCCTAAACCCTAAACGCTAACCCTAAACCTTAAAAAGGTTCTACTGCTAGAAACCAAACCCTGGCAGGCCTCATATAGCCTATACCCCAAGGACAAGCTGGCTGTGGACCCCAACTGCGAAAAACCCAAAGCTCTAAACACCTAAGCCCTGAGCCCTAAATTCTGAACCCTAAGCCCTCAACCCTAGACCCTAAACCCTAAACCCTAAAACCCTGCCTACCATCCTGCTGCCTGCAACAGTTGGCCCTCCCAGAGCGGGCTGCGCGCTGCACGATGTCCGGACACCTGCAGAGGACCCTGGAACCCTAAAACCCTAGAACCCTAGAACCCTAAACCCTAAACCGCAGTGTTTAGGGCTTTCCGGCTCTGAATGTCGGGTGGTGGACTTAAGTTGAAATCCTGTATGGGGCTGGGGGCTCTAAAAAATTCGACATGTCCAGGGTTTGGTGATGAACCTCGGAACCCTTGACTCCCCAAGCATACCTCCACCGTTTAGGGTTTAGGGTTTAGGGTTTAGGGTTTAGGGTTTAGGGTTTAGGGTTTAGGGTTTAGTAAGTAACTGGGAACCCAGGCTAACTCCTTCCAGAACCAGCACTTCTGGGGTGCACATCTGGAGCTTCGTCTTGTTAGGATTACCGATGGTAATGTTCTGGTACACAATGGGTATGCCCTTTTTTGGGCCATACCCACAGAAAGACCCTACAAAACCCTAACCCTAAACCCTAAACCCTAAACCCAAAACCCTAAACACACAAAGACCTTACCAACAAAAGAAAGTAGGGCCCCACACCCGACAGCGGATGGCTGGGAACGGCTGTGCTTCCACCGCCTCGAGAGGTAAACCCTAGGGTTTAGGGTTTAGGGTTTAGGGTTTAGGGTTTATGGAGGGTTTAGGACTTCGGGGCTTTTTCTTTGGGTGTGTTATACAGTAGCTTTCGGGCCCAGTATAAACCATAATTTTCGGTTGTTTTTAATAACCCCCGGCCCCCCAAAAAATCTGTTTTGCATCCGGGGCGTTTGAGGGTTGTTAAACAAAAAGAGTGGCAATTAAGTGTTCTGGGGATCTGGGCTCTCGGGGTCCTGGGCTTTTGCCGTGAGTCTTTGACGGCCTCTTTGCTGATCTGAAAGCAAGGGCTTCTGTAGCTAGCATTTATGTCAGGCACAGCTATCTGAAAGGGAGACCTGGCTGTCACAGCCTCAGGAGCTACAGCATCTCAATCGAGATCTGCTTCCCTAAAGACCGAAGGCCCAGCTGGTGGGGCTGTTCTAGCTAGGATGAAGAAGCTTCTCTGCAATAGAACTATGAAGCAATCTGCAGTAAGATTTGGAGTCATGGACAGCTGATTTTTTGCAATTGTCACCCTTTAATATTCTCATCGGACCCCCAAAGATGCATCTGTTAATCATACTTACTTCTCCAATATCCAAGGGGGAAAAAGCTTAAACTTTATTCTTCCTACTAAATAAGAAACCCAAAAAGTTTAAAGTTCAGCTGTGGGAGAAGTAAGCATATGACCCCGGAACCTTCCACCAATTGCAAGAGCTCTTGGACTGGCACGCCCGGGCCGGCCGAAAATCACAATTCTTACCACATCTAGTCTAACCCTAAACCCAAAACCCTAAGCCCTAAACCCTAAACCCAGTACGCTAGCACTAGGGCTACGTGTGGACCCTTAGGGCTGTTTTCTTGGGAACCAAATGAACCCTGAAAGGGTTTGTGGTCCATATACCTTAATTATGACAACTTGCAGCCGTATACGGCAGATGACTCCAATTTTAGGGTTCATGTGGTCCCCACTGTTGTGGCTCTGGGATTCTAAGTCTTTCTTGGTGCTTTTAAACTTCAAGGTAGGGGTATATTAATATAAGGGTTGGAGGCCTCCGTGCTCCCAGGGGTTCTACTTAGGATCGTTTTTTGTGAGTTTAGGTTTTTGGGATTTGCAGGACTTCAGGGGGTTTAGGGGACCCTAACCCATTTTTGGGGTTTTTGAGGTGTCGGCTTGACTTGAAGTGTCGAAATGGCACCTAAGGCCCGTGCACCCCCCACCCTGGCCCCTAACCCACACTTCTCCCAAGTTGCCATCCCCTGCCAAATCGGGTTTTAGGATTCCCTCAGCCCTATAATTGAGCCCGAAGCCCCTAAACCCTAAACCCTGAACCCTAAACCCTAAACCCTAAACCGCAAACTTCGCTCTGTTTTTTCTCTAAGCTCTCGGAGTGGAATGGCTGAATGCAGCGCGCTTCCCTTCGGGAAAAGCCCTGCAGATGTATCTCGGGCCATGCGCCGAGGGCCTTGCTTGCCTCAATGCCCTATACACGACCTTCAACCCGGCCGGCTCCCAAACCCTAAACCCTAAACCCTAAACCCTGAACCCTGAACCCTAAACCCTAAACCCTAAACCCTAAACCCTAAACTTCAACCCTAAACTCCACAGCCCCCAAAGCCCCCGAAGCCCCCCCCCAAACGGTGCCGCGAATGCTTGGGATCCCGGAGACCCCCCACCCTCCCCCTCCTTCAGGGCACCTTATAACGTCTTCATTCTTTGCTGGGCGACAAAAGGAAGCTCAGGGGGAATCGTACAGCTTCTTCGCAGAATCTGCGAAAGCAAAAAATCTGTCGGTGCCGCAATCTACCAAAAAACATACACAGTTTTGAGGGGCTTCTTCTGGTCAGGGAAAGGCTCTGGGTAAGGACAGCCCCTAGATATCCTAATACGTCCACAAAACAGACACACTGAAAGAGACCACCAACCAATGCAAGCTTTAGGGTTTAAGGTCCAGGGGAAGGAAATTCCTAACTCTGAGCTCCGGAAGTTTACCTACACCAGGGCAACTTAGTTGCTGATCTAGAACAAACTCTACTATCCAAAAAAGTGTAAAGTGTACTCACTCAGCTACTAAGGCAAGCAAAGGGGGGGCCCAGCGCAGAGGAGACCCGGCTGTTGAGGTGCGGGACGGGACAGCGTTGTATCCCCAGGATCTGGGATCTGGGTCTGGGGCTCCTACTTGTGCAGCTTCCAAGAACTGAAGCTAGGGTTTAGGGTTTAGGGTTTAGGGTTTAGGGTTTAGGGTTTAGGGTTTAGGGTTTAGGGTTTAGGGTTTAGGGTTTAGGGTTTAGGGTTTGGGGCTTGGGGTTTAGGGTTTAGGGTTTAGGGTTTAGGGTTTAGGGTTTAGGGGGGCCCAAAAGCCCAGTACTGGGGTTGGTTGAAACCTGCCCTAAACCCTGATACTCCCAGACCCGTAAAAGAGAACCCCGAACCCTTCGTGGAGGATAATCCCCCTAAACCCTAAACCCTAAACCCCGAACCCTAGGTGGAGACACTCAGGCGGCGTCTTGTCGCAGAGGCTCCTTCCTGCCACTCTTCCCATGCCAAGTCCTTCGCTGGCCAGGCTAGCGTCGGCTAGGTTTAGGGTTTAGGGTTTAGGGTTTAGGGTTTAGGGTTTAGGGTTTAGGGTTTAGGGTTTAGGGTTTAGGGTTTAGGGTTTAGGGTTTAGGGTTTAGGGTTTAGGTTTTAGGTTTTAGGTTTTAGGTTTTAGGGTCTAGGGTTTAGGGTCTAGATTCAGGCTCCCTAAACCCGAAAATTGGGATGTTCACCCTTTTACTAAGTCCTAAATAGGGATTATACTCGGGGGTACGATAGTTCCCGTTAAGGACTGTTGGTATAAATCCGACACCTTCAAACCTAAACCCTAAAACGCAACAAAACCAGGGTTTGTGGTGCAGGCTTCATATACCAGATCTTAGTGGGGACGTAGGGGATTAGGTACTTTATGTACCCCTACACTTCTTCCAAAGGGTGACAAAAGAGCGCCAAACGGCTTCTTAACATTGAGCTGCCAAGCCCTAAACCCTAAACCCTAAACCCTAAACCCTAAACCCTAAACCCTAAACCCTAAACCCTAAACCCTAAACCCTAAACCCTAAACCCTAAACCCTAAATGCTGTTCTCCGACCATATCTTCTGAAAGCCCGTTCGCGAGTTCAAGGCTGGGGGCCTGGGGGCTTCTAAACCCCAAGCCCTACACTTTGAGCCCCAAACCCTAAACCCTAAACCCTAAACCCTAAACCCTAAACCCTAAACCCTAAACCCTAAACCCTAAACCCGAGAAAATGAACTCTCAGCCCTAACTAAACTAGACTCTAAGCCCTGAACTCTAAACTCTAAACCCTGAACCCTAAACTGTAAACCCTGAACCCTAAACCCTACTAAGCCGAAAGCCTAAACTCTAAGCCCTAAACACTAAACCCTGAACCCTAAGCCCAAAAACCTAAACCCCGAAGCCTAAAGCCGAAAGCCTAAAACCTAAACCCAAAACCTTAAACCTTAAACCCTAAACCCTAAACCCTAAACCCTGAGCCGGAGAGTGTAAAGAGGGAGGAGTTCAGGGAACCTTCGGGAAGCCCTGAGGAGCCAAAAAGGGTTCAGGGTTTAGGGTTTAGGGTTTGGGGTTGAGGGTGGAGGGTGTTAGGGTTTAGGGCGCCGGGAAGATACGTAGGGCTTTCGGGTTTGAGGGTGTTAGGGTTTCTAGGGTGTTTCAGGGTTATTAGGGTCTTTTTAGGGTTTAGGGGTATTCGGGTCTTCAGGATTTTTTGGGCTTTGGGGTTTTAAGGTTTTAGGGACTGTTGGGCTTTAGGACTTTTGGCCGTTTGGGGTTCAACTAAGGTTCAGCGCTTGTTTGGTTTCGGGCTTCAGGGCTTGGGTGCTTAGCCGTTGGGTTCAGGGTTTAGGGTTTGGGGCTTAGGGTTTAGGGTTTAGGGTTTAGGGTGCACAAGTGCAATGCCCAACTGGAGTCGAGGGCAAAAGCCCTTGAAACTCTTTGAGGGGGTTTTGGATGCTGCCCCAAAGCCCTTAAATCCTAAAACCACCTCAGGGGTTTTAGGGGCAATTAAGGTATACCCAAAGGCTCCAATGTAGTTCCTTTTTGGGTTAGGTATGGGGGATTCTATAGCATACTACCCCCAAAAAGGCACTACAAAGGAGCCTTTGGGTAATTATACAGGGACCATCAGGAAAAAACGATTGGAAATTATTCCGACCCCTGTCGTATCTCGCTCCGAGGAGCCCAATTATCAAGGAACTTGACGTCGTTCTCAGACAGCGACCATGCGTTGCTCACATCAAGGCCGTTAAAGAGGAACTCGACATCCGCCTGCTGTTAGTTCCCTATAGGGTTTTGGGTTTTAGGGCTAAGGGAGTGAACCCTAAACCCTAAACCCTAAGGAATAAACGGGTACCCTTTTTGGTTTCAAGGGGCTTCGAAGGGGACCTGAACCAAGGGAACAAGGGCCTACTCTGGGTCCTAGGAGTAGCTGTTCCTGTTACTCTTTCAACTTTAACGTTCACCCCTGACTGCCCCGCGTTTCCCATGTGCCCCAGGCAACTGATGTAAAAGCCGCGCCGCCCCTAAACCCTAAACCCTAAACCCTAAACCCTAAACCCTAAACCCTAAACCCTAAACCCTAAACCCTAAACCCTAAACCCTGTAGACCCTAAACCCTAAACCCTAAACCCTAAAAAAAAAGAGGACCCTGTCGGACTTCAAGATGGCAAGCTTGTCTTTCGAGCGGAGCTCTGTCTGCTTGCAAACACAAAGCGCCCCCCCCCCCCCCCCCCCCCCCGCGCAACCCTCAGATAAAACCCGCCAAAAGCACCCAAACTCACTGAAAGTCCGGTAACCCTCAGAACAGAGAAGAAAAAACACAAACTCACTCAACCCTTAGGCCTTAGTCCCTATAAGCTGCACCCAGAGCCGATGTTGCAGCCCCCCAAACCCTAAACCCTAAACCCCAAACCCTAAACCCCAAACCCCAAACCCCAAACCCTAAAC